CGTTACTAAGAATATTATAAACCGGTTTTCATGTTTGAAATATGGTGTGTCCCCTATTACTTTACTAGTCGGCAATATTGTGCCGTTTCCAAATTGTTTTTTCAACTGATAATTCGTTCCTGTTCTAAAATTATATTGCTTGGCAATTTCTAACACTATATTATATTCTTTTGGTGAATCTATTACTGTACCTATAGTTTCTTTTACATTACTATTTGTGATAACTTGTGTTTCTAATTTTTCGAGAAATTTTTCGTATGATTAGTTTTTCATTTCCTGTATAGAGTACATGCGTGTGAGTGCATCTACATTTGAATTTAAAACTCCGGATTTGTAACGTATTTCGTAATCGTACTCCTCTAATTGTATTCTCCATCTAGCTAACTTTGATAATGGATTTTTCAAATTAAAGAGCCACGTTAATGGACGATGGTCACTAAGTATTATAAACTTCCTACCGTATAAATATGGTCGAAACTGTTTAACTCCGAATATTATTGCAAGACATTCTAATTCTGTTGTTGAATAGTTGCTTTCGCTTTTATTTAATGTGCGCGACGCATAACATATTGGCAAATCTTTACCTATTTCTCCTTGAGATAAAAAAGCTCGGAGTGCTTAATCCTAAAAATGATTTAATGTTTTTTACAGTTGTTGGTATTGGAAATTCTACTACTGCTTTTAATTTACGTTCGTCGGGTTTTATTCCGTCTTTCGTAATAACGTGTCCTAGATATACACATTCTCTTTTTAAGAAGTTGCATTTATCTGGTTGTAATTTTAAGTTGCTTATTCTTAAACGCTCGAAAACTATCGTCTAAGTATACTAAGCATTTTATTCCTATTAAACCAGCCAGAGCTGAATTCATAACTCTTTGGAAAGTTCCGGGACTCGTCTTCATTCCCTGTATCATTCGTTTGAAATGCCAGTGACCTTGGTTAGTCGAAAAGGCTGTTAACTCTCGTGAGTCCTTTTCCATCACAATTTGGTAAAAACCACTCGATAAATCTAAAAGAGACAATAATTGACTATTTCCTAGCTGATCTAGTATTTCTGTAATATTTGGTATTATAAATTAATAATACAATTTAAAATTTTAAAATTTTAAATATTCACATATTTCGTAAATGGATAGTTTTTTAATTTCGTCTATGTGGTCAGTTATTATTATTTGTTTCAAACGTTCTATTCGTTCATTGTGATCATTTGTCGATTCTACATTATATATTTCGTATTCGGTATCAAATAGTATTTTAATTAAATCAATTTCAGATATATTTTTCGTTTTTCCCGATATATTCAACATGCTAACTATTGCCCTACCATTATTAATGATAGACACTGTACTACTGCAATATACGTCTTTTACTAGTTCTTGTTTATGTATAAATATTTCCTTGCTTTCTATTAGCGGGTCAGCTATCTGTATTCCTACAATAGTTTCAGTCCGCGGATTTAATTTAATAAAACTGGTTTTGTCGGTCTCTTTGAAAGTTGTTAGTGTATGCGAGGTTGTTTGAATAATTAATTTGTTGTTCACTACATCGACTATTGCGTTATTTTTTGACAAGAACTCGTTTCCTAATATTCCGTCCTTGGGTATTGGGAATCGTGCTCTCACGATATGAAATTCTGTTTTAATGTTTTCGCCATTTAATTTAATTAATATTGATATTTTCCTTATGGTTTTTGTGAGACATTCATTTATACCACGCAGATTTATTCTTTGTATTTCGTCTACTTCTAGTTCTTCGCGTAAGCAATTTATTTTGAGAATGTCTACCTGACTACCTGTATCTATCATTAAATGTAACTGATTTGTTTTTGTGGCATTAGAATTGAATGTTATATGATTATTTTTTATTGTTGCGAATATGTGAAATATTCGTGCGTCGGTTGTTCCGCGATAATCTGGTTTATCGTACGAGTACCGCGTACGTCGTTCGATACATTGGCGTTTCCCGAATTATTTCTTCTTTCATCGTTTCTCTTTTTATAACACGAATCTATATTATGACCGTTTTTATTACTATAGGAACACGTAACTGTTTGCGTATTATAATTTGTCGGCGGTTGCGGAAAATTATTTCTATTAGGTGGGCGGTTGTTATTGCCGTTGCTCGCGTAGTTAGGTCTCGAATTATTTCTACATTGTGATGCAAAATGATTTCCATTGCAATTATAACACCTTATTGGTGGCCTATTAATCGGTTGAGAGAAGTTGTTTGCTCGCGGATAGTTATTTCGTGCAAAATTATTCGGCCTTACAAAATTATTTGGTCTAACGTTCCTGTTTTTCCTATTTTCATAATTTGATCTACGTTGATTATTGTTTTGTGAATAACTACTCGAATAATGGTTAATATTTTCCTGTTCTAATCTTAGTTCTACCTGTTCTGACTTAGCAAGTTGTTTCGCGATCTCCAGAGTTTTGGGATTACGAGATTTTACTATCGTTCTAATCGGTTCTACTACCTAATCCTTTAATAAATATCACTAGAGTTTGTTCCCTTAATGTTTCATGTATAATTCTTGCTTCTGTAGCTTCTTTGTTCAATGTACTTACGGTACATAACTGATAATATAGTTTCTCTACTCTATGGCAATAATCATTTACATCCTCATTGTGATGCATTCTAATTGAATTTAATTGAAGTTGTAACGACGATGCATTAGTTGTCACTTAGAATGCATCTGTTAAATAAGTTTTTATATATTGCCATTTTGTCACGTATTTATATTTAATCATTTCTAATGTTCTACCCGTTAATCGTGTAGCAATATATTTTACTAATATTGGCGCACTGTTTGTGTCGACTAAACTTACTGCCATATCGCATGCATTTATGAATTGATAGATGTTGTCTATTCCTGTGCATAGTGGAATTAATTTGAATGCGTCTTCTAATTTTATGGTTACTGCCATTTTTTTAGTGCGTGGTTTAGATATAGAATCTAATGACTGATGTTTAAAACTATCTGTAACTTGGCTACGTGTGACTACTCCTTTTTCTACTTGTGGACTTGGGTTTTTACTTGTGCTACCTACTAACTGGGTATCTACTATAATATTCAACTGGGCTTTCTGTTGGGCTTCAAACTGGGCTTGGGCTTCTCTCTGGGCCAATAACTGGGCTTCTAACTGGGCTTCTTCTACTACACTAGTGTCATACAATGAATTAGCTACGTTCAAGGGAGATGTATTTTCGCTGTCCATAAATTAACTTAGCTACCTATTTAATACGTTAATAATCATAATAATACTCAATAATAATTCAACAATGCCCTATAAATACAATAATAACTTCAATAATATGCCCTCTAATAAATTCAATAAACTTCAATAATAGGTACTTCAATAATAAAAATGCCCTCAATAAATAATAATCAATAATAACTTCAATAAAAACATGCCCTCAATAATAAAACTTCAAATAATCAATATGCCCTCAATAAATTCAATAAAACTTCAATAATAATCAATAAAATATGCCCTCAATAAAATTTAAACGGTTTACACCATTACACTTATAATCAATTACCTAGATTTATCTTAATATGTCTTAATTATGTTGCATACGTCTATGTAACAAATTTAAATAACTATTCACTCACAATAATGCTGCGTTCATGGCTAACGATGACATGTTGCCGATGTTGATGATGCTGCTGATGGATTTGTTGGTACTGCGACGTGACTTATTTGTTTTTGTTGGTTCCTCCGGGAGTTGTCTTCGCAGAAGAGTGATCAATTCTTCGTTGTTGACAGTAGCCTTTGACGGTTGCATCCTTTGTGGAATCCTACCGACTGCGCCAGTGTTACATCCAGCCCTCCAGGGATCCAAAAGCTGATGTACTTTGATAAATTATAATAGTCAAATTAGTATAATAATCAAATGTATTTTATTAAACCAGACAAAATAAGCAAAAAAGTCGTGTTGATTGTAGTGAATTGTAGCTCGTTCCAGAATTGATAATCTCCGTGTAATTATGTGTGATGGCTTGGCGGCTAAGCGAGTCGTGTGTTGTTCTCGTCTCTAGATACATCTAACTCAGGCTGTCTCGGTGTCCCCTATATATATGGTGGCGGCGTCCTTTGAAGTGAGCGGCGCGTGTACAGTCGTCCTTGATATTGACCTCACGACTAAAAGTGGTATTCTAGTCGTAAACACTTTTGGGTGTGGTCGCATTCCTGGTTGTTTTTATGAGCAAATACATGATATTACGTAATCCCATTGCAGAATGCAGTTAAAGATGTTGCTATTAAAACTGAAGGAGATATTCAAAAATTAAATATACCCAGTGTTGTGCATTATCTAGATAATTTTATCTAGATAATTTATCTAGATAAAATATAATTATCTTTTTATCTTATCTAGATAAAAAATATTTTAAGCATCTTTTTATCTTATCTAGATAAATAAATAGGTTATCTAAAAATAATTATCTAGATAATTATTCAGTCAATGATATAAAAATTCAAATTTTTAAATCCCGAATATTCACTGCGTTTCGTAATAATAATAATAATAATAATAAATATTATGATAATAACAGACTATTGACTATTTAACTGTGGTGTTCGTGAGTACGAACATTGGCCCGATAAAATGCGGCGTAGTCGACATTGCGGGAAAAACATTTTCAGCTAAAAATAGTTTATGCGTTAACGTCTACGGACCCAATCACTTAATTGTGTTTATATTGGTAATACATTTGATCCGTATACACAATTACGGAGAAAATAGAACCAGCTGTTTCTAGTTATTAAAAATTAAAATACACATACTGATTAGTGATTACTGAGTATCTATTATTCTATTGGGCATTAGCGTCTGCTGTATCAAATAATATTATAGTTCTTCTTTTTCCGCATTCGTCGTTCATCATTACCTACCGAAGTTTAATGTTGTGGTCTTGTTGATACTTATTGTGTATTTATGTCTTTAAGTTTATACTACAAATATTGCGACATCATTTTATAACGTATTACTTCGAAATGGATAAATTTGTAACATCTATTCGTTCACTTAAAAGACAATATGAGGACAACGAATTTGAAACCGACAATCCTGGACCGTCTGAACGCGAACCATATATTCAAGATAATACATCGTCTATAATGAATGCAACAATTGATGAAAAAGAAAATTACCTATTAGATGGTACATTTTTTAAGAAGATTTCAAACACTGGATCAAAAATGTCAGTTACTTGTTTAAACTGCAACAAAAAGATAATTGCGTACTCAGGTTCTACCGGGAACTTATTGAGTCACTATAAAGTAAGTGTACCTAATTTCAAAATATTTTGAATTGTATTATTTGATTAGTTATAGCTAATATTACTAACTAGGTACTAACTACTAAGTGCAAATATATTATTTTAAAGTATTTACATTATATTATGTATTTTGTAAAAAAAAGTATTAGTTTGTACATTCAAAAATATCTATAGGTACTAGTTATAAGTTTATAACTGATAGTTACTATATTATTTAATAAAGTAGGTAGGTACATTGAATAAAGTAAAATACCTAAAATAAAAGTAGGTACCTACCTAAATTAAAAAACCTTATCGAGTAATATGTAGATTATACTATAATTTATAGCCATTATGTAATATTTAGTCTAGGTATTTAAAATTACTTTAGTATAATAGTTTTTAAAGAAGACTGCATTTTGTATTCATTTATCTATGGGTACTAGACACTAGTGTAGGTTCTGCTATAGTCTATAGTACCTACCATTATAACTGATTTTACTGAATAATTTAAATTTAAATAAAATAATACTCTTGAATATTTCCATAGCATGTGCATCCGGGTTTGATGACTGAATTAAAGGCTTACAAAATAAAGAAATCTACTTCTACTGGTGTGTCAAAACAGTCAAAACAAATTACAATATGTCATTCTACTGAAAACTCTGGATTCAAGAGGAAATGTTCGAAAGAAAAGGTATACATTTGCATATTAGCATCACCTATTAATTAACTCCCAAAGAATTAGTTAATTACTATGATGACTATATACATAAATAATTTTAATATAATTCTATTTAATTAAATTTTAAATTATATATAATAGAAAATTAATAGTACATGCATACTACAAATTACCTATTGAATTCTTTTTATTCAAATTTCTAATTAAATGTAATAGAAAATTAATAGAACATATCTATTACCTATAATTTTAAATTTTAAGTATATTAATAAATTTAATTTATTTTATGCAACTTTTAAAAAATGCAGTAGTGTAGAAGTTTTAAGTTTAAATTTTATGAATTGTGATAAAAAAATATTTTCAGTGAAGTTTTGAGATCTTATAAGTTATAAGTACCTACCTATTGGCTATTATAATTTAAAATGTACTGAAACCAATTGAATTAAGAACAAAAATATGAAATTTCTAAATAATATAAATAATGTATACTGTATAGTGTATACCATATTATTTTAAAAGTTCATATTTATGTCCTTACTTTATTTGTATTCAGTAAATTTTAAATTATTATAGGTACCTACCTAAAAAATCTCAAAAGCTTATTGAAGATATTTATTTATTACCTGTTTTTTAATAATTACGTAAAATAAATTAAATTTATAATTAATATATTTAAAATGTAAAAACATAATATGTCATGTTATGTTAATTTGCTATTACATTTAATTTAAAATTTTAATAAATGGAATTCAAATACCTATGTAAAAGTTATCTATCTAAAAGTTACAAAATTACAACTTTTATATCATTTTTTTTTGGTATATTATTGTTTCACCAATAAATATTATAAAATGTTTTCAGGTTACCGAATTGGTTTTCAACTATATTGTAGAAGAGATGAAGCCGGATATCAACATGTGAAAAACCTTCGTTTCGAGCACTTATTATTGGCCTGACTAGTGACAATTTTGTACCTGATAGGAGAGCCATTAGTAATCAGCTATTAAACAAGTACAAAACATATGTAACTGACTTAACAAATTTAATTTCTGAGCAAATGTATGTATGTATTACTACAGATATATGGAGTTCATTAAATAAAAGTTATTTAGGAATGACACTGCATTACATAGAAGAAAAATCATACAATCGATTTTCATATGTTCTAGCATGTCAACGAATAGAAGGAAGCCATAATTATTCAAACATTGCTAAATGTATTTCTAAAGTTATGAATAGTTATAAAATTAATGTCACAAAAATAACACATACAGTTACAGACAATGCCAGTAATTTTGGTAAAGCCTTTCGTGTTTATGCACAACAATTTGCACCGCCTGAAACAGTTTCAAAAAATAATGTCACTTTAGATGCTCAAAATATTAATATATTGATGGATGCTTTCGACCAAAATACTGAACACCATTTTGAACTAGAATCTGAATTTTTACAAAATGATGTTGAAAATGATCCGGATGATATTATAGATGTAGTTAATGTTTCTGATATTTTAACTATAGCTTCCAACAACTATAATGAATATTCTGAAGACAATGATGATTTGGATATAATTCTTTCTAATCATATAACATGCTCTGCACACACTCTCAATTTAGTTGCTACCATTGATACTTCAAAAATTACTAATAATCAATACAAAATAATATCTAGATCTGCTTTTGGTAAATTGACAGCCTTCTGGAATTTAGTTAGCAGGAGTACAATGGCATCGGATGTAGTTTTTAATATATGTAAGTGTAAATTCCCTTTACCCGTAATAACTCGATGGAATTCATTTTATGATGCGATCAAAAAAATTATGCTTTGCGGTGAAAAAATAATTGAGTGCTTTGAAAAATTGAAGCTGAGTCAATTAAAAACAACAGAATGGAATTTTTTGGAAGAATACATTAAAGTTATGCAGCCTTTGACAACAGCTTTGGATAAACTCCAAGGTGAAAAATCCTGTTACCTTGGTTATGTTGCTCCAACTATTATAGCAATTAGACGTATACTATTAAACCAAAGCCATTTGACCTATTGCAAGCCATTGTCTTTATCTATTATAAAAGGTCTTGAAAAACGATACTCTTTTATTTTTGATTTAAATGATCCAAAAAGTAAGCCCTATATATTGTCGTCGGTGACCCTTCCAAAATTTAAACTCAGTTGGGTGCCTTCTCAGTTCTCTGATATTTGTAAAAATTTATTTCTGTTAGAATGCAATGAAGTTTGTTCTATTATGAATACGGAATCTGGACCTTCTACAACAGACAATGATAGTGGCGATGAATTTTATACACCAATTTCCAATTCTCAACTAAGTACATCACCATTAGAAAGTTCCAATCAGCATAGATCTGAAAACTTGGCTAGTGTACAAGGATTATCTTACTTAAATTCCAAAAAGAAAGATGGAAAAGATTTAATAATTCTAGACCATTATCCAATAGTAAAACATATATTTTTAAAATACAATACTACATTACCATCTTCAGCACCAGTTGAAAGGCTCTTTAGCAATGGAAGTCAAATTTTAACTCCAAGAAGGAATCGTTTGAATGACAAGACGTTTGAGATGTTAATGTGTTTAAAATCTAACAAGTTTAATGTATAATTGTATTTATTTTGACATTAATTAATAAAAACAATAAAGAATTTCATTTACATTTAATTTTAATTTTTAAAAAAGTAGATTAGGTACAGAATAATAGTTTTAACTATTTTCTCAGTTTTTTCTTCATTATAAAATACACTTTTGACACAGAAATACTAACTAGGGAAGAAGAAGAAAAACGCCCAACCAAAATATTATTACTATCCTCGGATCTACAATATTAAATATTAATTATCTGTTTTTTTATCTAGATAAATGGAGTTATCTTTTATCTATTATCTAGATAAATATTTTAAGTGTTATCTATTTATCTCATCTAGATAAATTTTCAACACATTATCTGTTATCTTATCTAGATAATTTTAAAGTTATCTGTGCACAACACTGAATATACCATATTATTATCAACCTAGAAATCCAGAATTATAACGATTAACAAGTTCAGAAGAGACTTTTGGAACTCCAAAATATTCTAGTCAAAAATCAACAAGTAATTCTCCATTACCTAAAAATATTATAAACTTAGGTCCTATTACGTCAAAATATTTATCAACTGTAAAAGATACTAATTCTTTTGGAATATATCATAATGAGAAAGATGATATTTATATGATTGGAAAAGATATAATCAATCTTGATAATGATGATATAATTTTAAATGGAAAAAGATATATAGGAACACCAGGTTTATGGAGATTATTAACTCATCAAATTCCTACCAAAAAAGAATTTTATACAGATGATGATTTTAATATTTATAAAAATATATTCTTTGAAACTAATTCTATATATCAAAACAATGATCCTTCAACAAAAAGAGCTAAATCAAGTCGTGGTGAATAATATAAGGATGTGATTAGTGATATTTGGAGAGAAATGACAGAAACAACTGATAAGAAAAAAAATAATAAAAAGAAAGAAAATAATGAAGATAATGAAATTAATGAAAAAAAAGAAAATAATGAAATATTAGCTGAAGATAATCAAATAGGGGAGGGTTTAAAGAAATACACAGAAAATCGTATTGAATATCGTTATATTAGTAATGTAAACCAAGTGATAGATAATTTACAGTTTATTTCTTCAGAAGAAAGAGCTGGAAATAATAATTTAAAAAACGAGAAACTTGGTATTGTTCATTTATTTAAATCAATTATGGAAAATCTTATTGATACTCCTGAAGGTATTGAATATTTACTAAAATGTGTAACTTGTTTACCAAAGGAAATGAAAATATCAAAAGAAAAAATAATTAAACGTATACAGTATATATCAATTGAAGAAAGTATAGGAAATAATATTTACCATGATGAAAAACTTGATATTCTTAATATTTGTATTAGAGAAATGGAAAAATTAATTGATATACCTATTAAACGGTGCAGATTATTTATCATCATATGTTTCATGTTTACCAAAGAAAATTATTACAGGTTCAGGAATTGTTAATTTTCTTTTGAATTGTTCAAATTTACCTGAAATCCATTGGCCTGGTTATAATTATATAGGACCGGGAACAAAGTTAGAAAAAAATAAAAAAAACCTAAAAACAAATTAGATGAAGCTGCGAGAGAACATGATTATTTTTATAAAGATAATAAAGATACTAAAACAAGACATATTGCTGATAAAATTTTAGAACAAAAAGCAATGGAAAGATTTTATGATTCTCATAGTTCTATAGGTGAAAAAACTGCAGCCATTTTTACAGCAAATGTAATGAATGTTAAAAGACGATTTGGAATGAATTTAATTTAATTTAATTTTTTGTATTATAAAATGAATCTAAATTTAAATAAAAAACAATTTAATAAAATATTGAAAGCTCATAATAGTAATAAAGATGTATCAATTCTAATATTTGGGTAAAGATAATCTTTTTTGTACTGTTTCCCAATTTCAATACTATAATGATCCACCTATATGTGGTCATTTATGTTTAGAATTTATTGAAAATTATAAAAAATGTATTTAAATATTTTATTTTTTTAACAGAAATATTTCTATTAAAAAATAACAACTCGTTTAATATGTTTTAAATTATATTTATTTCTAAATAACATAACAATATATATTTAACAACGAGTCAACGATTCGTTAACGAGTCGTTTTTTTTACGTTAACGTTGTTTTTTAACAACTCGTTGTTTTAATAATTCGATGTTAAAAAAAATATTTTCTAATATAAATAATAGAAATGGAAAATATGAAAACACTTTTAAATATGATTGAACAACAATGTAAAATCCTAAGACCTATATTTAATGATAGTGATATTGATATTGATTCTGAAATTAGTAATATGTTATGGAATCAAATATTGGATAATTGTTATTACGAAAATGTTGCAAAATATGTTTATTACAAAAAACATGATCAATTAAAATAATTTAACTACCATTTCATTAGTAATTGTTGTTTCGAAAATATTTTAAGTTTTATTAAAAATAAAAATTATAATGAAATTAAACTTTCACTAAACGAATTACGTAAATTAATACAAAAGGAATTACATGATTCGAATAATAATAATAATAATAATAATAAAATATGGAGCTAGACTGATTATTTTTTAAACTTCGAAAATTTAAATCGAATATAACACTTACGAAGTATTATATATTTATATATTATAGTACCTATACAAACTATAGGTAAACGTTAACGTTGTTTTTAAACATCTTCGATTATTTTTATTTTATTAGCAATTTTTATTTCACAATTAATATTTACACATTCATATTCTTCATCTGTATCATCGTTTTGAGGAGTTAGACCATATGTATATTTTATAAAATGACAACTCAAAATTATATCAATTGATAACCATAATTTATCTTTATTATCTATGTAATTATAGAAAAAAAACCAAGTGTGTCCTTAAAATCATCATTAAAATTTTTAATAAATTGGGATATTGTAATTTCAGACTTTATCACACCAAAACATTCCCATTGATCCCAAGTTGGAATATAATCACCACGAACTTGAGAATACAAAATAGGAAATTTCCAGTTTTTTCGAAAATCAATAAATTCAGATATTGCACCTTGATTCCATTCATGACTGCAATAATACATTGCTCGTATCGGTATTATTTCTTCCATTTCTTCCGATGTAAAAGTATTTTCTTGATTATTATACTTTATTTGTAATATTTTATTAAATTTATTGAATATTACACATGATTTGCGAAACGATTCCGCTTTATTTTGCTCATGTTTGTAAATTTTATGCTTGATTTCATATGGACCAAATTCGTTTTTTACATTATTAGCATCTATCGTTTTTTTTTATAGTTTTTGGCAAAGATAATTAACGTGTGTGAAGTTGGCCCTCCGACTAAATGCTAAAAACTTCAAATATAAATCAATATTTAGCAAGTTATTTGCAAGTAATTGCAAGTCCATTAATACAATTTGTAAGTCAGTAGTTTCGTCAGGAAACAAAAAACATGAAAGTAAGGGCCAACTTCACGTAGCCCTACCGATTTGCCCTTTCGACCACAAACCTGTATCAAAACGTCCTTCGGTAATTGCAAGTCAATTTTTAGAATTTGCAAGTCATCCCCTGACTCCACAGGGGTAGTTTTATACCGTGAAGTTGGCCCTACCGATCTGCTCAATCGACCCCAAACCAGTACTAAAACGTCCTTCACAGGGGTAGTTTAATACCGTGAAGTTGGCCCTACCGATTTGCCTTATCGACCACAAACCTGTACCAAAACGTCCTTCGGTAATTGCAAGTAATTGCAAGTCCATTTTTAGAATTTGCAAGTCATCCCCTGACTCCACAGGGGTAGTTTAATACCGTGAAGTTGGCCCTATCGATTTTCCCTATCGACCCCAAACCAGTACTAAAACGTCCTTCACAGGGGTAGTTTAATACCGTGAAGTTGGCCCTACCGATTTGCCTTATCGATCTTTCCTTGTGTATTTTAAGTTTTTTGATTTCGCTTTAAATTATTCAAAACCATTATTACGTCCATGAACTGAACCCAATGTTTTCAAGTACGGGACTAAAATAATAAAGGTGGGTCAACTGTGGCCCACCTTTTTTCACCCGTACAATCCAAACTGGTATTAAACGATTCCCTATAATTAGCAAGTAATAGCAAGTCAAATTTGTAGATTTTTTTTTGTAAAATAATTTTTTTTTTTATAAAGTACAGAATTTTTTTATTGAATTCGAATTTTTGGTATTAGAATTACATTTTATATTCATTTAAGATTTTTTTGTTTAAATTGGCTTTTTAGTCGTATTAGGTTATTGAAACTTGGCTTGTTATTCGGAATATATTAATATATTACAATTGCAATAAATAATAATAAATAATCTTAATTTGATAAAAAAAAATGTATATTTGTTGACACAAATTTATATTCAATAGAAATAGTATATTATATTTGTGAAAATATGAATACTAAATCTATATTTGTAAAAAAAATCAAGATAAAATCTATATTACATAAAAATCTATACGATAAATAAAATTTTTTATAAAATCTATATATAAAAAAATCGTTATCTAATCTATATTTGTAAAAAAAAAATCATTATTAAATCTTTTTTTTGATTAAAATTGATAAAAAAGGTATATTTACCAGTTTCGAATGTGTGGGGGAAAAAAGGTGGGCTGGCATACTGAACTTACAAAATTCCACATCAATAGGGTGGACTTGCAAATTTTTTTATTCGTCTTGCAATTACTTGCTAAATATTGATTTACCTTCTGAGGTCTTCATATTATGTTTATTTGAAGTTGTTGGTTAGGTTTAATGGGTTATTTCGAACAAGTTAAACTGTCGTAGGCGTAGCATGATAAATTTATATGGGGGGGAGGGGGCTATAGCCTTTTTATTCTTTGTGGGACTCTGGTAGGTATTGTATTTGTAAATTTTCATGAACGGATAAAATAGTACATTTTTACACATTAGGCTAAACAAAATTCTGGGGAGGCTTAACATAATTTGTGGGGGCTATATCCCTTACCCCCCCCCAATTATACGGCTATGTAAACTGTGGTCTTAACAGCCCTGCACAACGTTGGTTTAGTGTTATAGTGGTTTTGACTCTGCGGCAGGAACAGTTCGAGGTGTACCTTTTTAAAATTAGGACTTGTCTGTCAGACCGATTTTTTTTATTATGGATCCGTTTTAATCATTCAAATTAATATTATTGAAAAACAAAAAATTCTATTAATGAAAAATGGAATTTTATTATCAGTTGATTAAATAACATTTGAAAAATAAAGTATAAACACTGAATATTTTGATTTTGATTTATCATCATAATAGTATACCTAAATTAAAATTAAAATATAAAATAATCTCATAAAACTATTTATAACTATTTAATATAATTATTAATTTTAAACAAAACTTTTGTACTTTTAACTATTATACAAATAAAAAAAAATGATATACTTAATTTTTTACATATACAATTATATGTGGATTTACTATTACGTTTGAATTTTTTACAATCATTATTTTTTGGTTTATGTCATTATGTAATTCCCAAGTCTTAGTAATTGTTCTTCTAACATACGTAATATAATGCCCAGGAACGTAATTTATAACAGCTACAAGTTCAAACCTAAAATAAAAATTAAATTCCGTCAATTGTTTGAATTAATTTTTTTTAACGTTTTATACTTACTTTTCACACAATAATGTTGGGATTTCATCCAATTTAATTTGAATATTGTTAATGTCAGTCTCTATAAATAAATGTGGACCTAATATTCTAACGGAATGTTTAAATCCTTCGCATTTTCTACACATAATTTTTTCCCCTTTTGTGTAATCTAATAATGATGATTGAAGTGATTGAAGGTCCTGTGTTATTGGAAGAATAACTGTAGGTGAATTGAGTGTTGTTTTTCCACATTTATGACAGTCAATATTTTGAGTTGCACTCGGGTCATTCTTCAAATAACATTGTATAATTTTGGTAATATTACATTCTGCGTTTATTGTGAACACATTAGAATACACTTCTAATTTATCAAAAAACAACATTAGTAGTACTCTTTCTTCGTACAATGATTTTGTACCTCCATACAACGCTAGATTTTTAGCAAATTGCAAAAACTTATTTTTGGTATTGTCGATGTAGGTTTTGTAGTTTACATTGTCCGTGTAGGAGACAGCAATGGCGTCTACGACGGAGTCAAATGGACATGTTTGGCTTACAATATATGTTTTTCCTTTAAATTTACACTGGTATGATATATTCCCGTTCAGTATTAAAGTTTTTTTATGTGATCTCATTCTTGATCTGTTCAGAATCCTATCTATTTCTGTGCATGGCTCAGTATACTTGGTTGTTCTGTTTCTTTTTTCATTGGGTTTTTGAAGTGGTCCTGTCCGTTTGTTCGTCAATCCCTTCCAAGTTTCTTCGTCACTCAAAGTGCAATAGCTTACAGCAGACGATGAAGATGAGGCATTTGAGGTATTATTAACATCACTCTCATCACTTGAATCTTTCAAACATTATTCATTTAAATCTTGTTCTTTCTTTGACTCTGAACTGATCTCTAGGCCCACCTTATTATTTTCATTTTCAACGTCTAAACTATCTTGTCTGTTAGGTTTTTGAAGTGGTCCTGTCCGTTTGTTTGTCAATCCCTTCCAAGTTTCTTCGTCACTCAAAGTACAATAGCTTACAGCAGACGATGGAGATGAGGCATTTGAGGTATTATTAACATCACTCTCATCATTTGAATCTTTCAAACATAATTCCTTTATATCTTGTTCTTTCTTTGACTCTGAACTGATCTCTAGGCCCACCTCATTATTTTCATTTTCAACTTCTGAACTTATATGTGTAACGTGATATGAATTATTTGAAACATTAAAACTCTCACTGAAGTTCATATTATGATCTTTATTCATATTTTCAGTATGTGATTGTTCACCATGTGCCAGTTTCATAGAACAATCTAGACTTTTGATATGTGTGATCACAAATCTATCAGCAGAAATTGGCCCGTACTCGTGTCGTAAAATGTTAGACTTTAAGTTCGAAAAATCTCCTTCAACAGGCGCTGATGTTGCCGAATCATAAGGAGACATAAAATACTGTTTCATCACGTTAGTCCAGAGAGGAAACTGTTTACATAGTCTTAAAATATTTTTACTGATTTCTAGAGAATAGTACGCATTTAAGCGGTTGCCAACTGTTGACGAATTTAAATTACATCTGCATTTTATATCATCTAAGAAGTTTGCCATTTCTGATCCTAAGATCTTATCAGTAATAATTTCATTCAATGTCCCATCATCTCTATCACTTATATCTGTTGTTGTCATTAAATAAGATGTTCCTATAAATAGATACAATTTTAAAATAAAAATAAATTCTTAATTACTAATGTAATAAAAACTAGTTTTTAATTTGTATTAAATTATTAAAAAATAAATAATAAAATATTTTTGTTGTTCATTGACTAAGAAATTAAGTTTAAGTTTAAAAGTTAATTATTTTTTAACTTTCTTACTTTACTAGTTAGTTAATTGGCTATAACTATCCCAAAAAGAGTCAAAATATTACGAAAATGTTACCATTCATTTTATAAATTCTAATATAAATATTTGGTGAAAATGTCAAAGGTCTGTGGTTATTAATTTCTGAGTTACACCAAACAAATAAAATCGATTTTATCAAAAATTTGTTTTTCCCAAAAATTACCACTTTTCTTCACTTTTTTTTTGGTTTTTCTCGACACTTTCTAAAACTACTTGGAATTTTCAATTTTGACCTCCGAAAAGTACAAACTACGTTCACTTTTCTATCAGAAAAGCTACTGATCTCAAAAATCGAAGCATGCTTTCTATCCAAAATGTTGGCGACAGACAGACAGAAAAAAAATTTTAAAAAAAGATCCGCTCAGAATCTAAAATAATCTAATACCTATTATAATAATACAAATATATTGGCTGTTATTTTGATTAGTTATAGCAGTGTTATATATCTAATTACTTAGGTACACTAATGTATCAATAATCACCTTTGATGTTTTCTATTAAACGTATTCTAGCATCTTCAGATGGACAATTAACTTGTTCTTCACCATTATCATATTCACTAGATGACACTGTTAAAATATCAGTTAAATGACCTGTAAAGCTGCTTAAATCTTCAGATTTTATTAATAAAACCACGCTTCTGTAATTATACAATGGTATCGAAATATATTAATTGTATTTATTAAATTGTCTAAGAACCTAGCTTCGTTATTATAACAAAATGAAATATTGTAATTTACCTCACAAAAAAATCCTTAAGGTGAGGTGTCCTTATTCGATTCCAACATTTCCATCGGCATACAAGCTTAATAAGATGCGCAATATCAATTCGCACATAACATTTCAACATATTATGATGAGTATTTGTTCTTCCTTTTAATATAACCAGGCATGCGGCCACGTAGGCATGAAGAGCCATTCCATCACAGTAGTATATATTTGTATGTTCTGAGCACCTTTTTTACAGGGAGATTTCATCATTTCAAGCGGGGCATTTCTACATGCTCCACCGTGTAACACAAATTGTACACAAGTAAAAGCTATGTGTTGTGTACAACACAAGTACACAACACATAACTGTGTCTATATCATTTTGTTACACAAACAAAATAAATATGTTTTTACCATCAATATATTACTCATAAGTGTTGGCAACACTGAACTTTTTATAGTCACTCGTACTAAAATTAAGTTAGCTATACATTTCAGTAACGAATAATCCGTTGTTAAACCAAGTTATGCTTTTTATTTTATTGTCTTGTTTCACTTATACATTTATTTTTTAAGTAAAAATTTCCAATTTAATGTTTTTTCTTTAAAATAAAAAAAACATGAACTTTCAAAAAACCACCAGCAATTATTCTTCATTAGTTTCTTTAATACGAAACCAACCATATCCAACATATCCGCAATATGATACATTCACATCAAGATTAAAAACATATAATATATTTCCGTCAACTATACCTCAAAACAAATATGTATTGTCTGAATGCGGCTTTATATATACAGGGGTTCAAGATATTGTGGAATGCTTCTCTTGCGGACTTGTATTACATGACTGGAAGAAAGATGACATTCCATGGATCGAACACTCGAGACATAATTCCAAATGTATTTATGTATTATTATCGAAAGGTAACCACTTTGTAGAAAACATAATAACCAAATATGGAAGAACTTAATGTAATTGTGAAACAAAATATGTCACTCGCTCAACTGCTTAAACGTATGAACGATATTAAAATAAAATTTTGTATTTTATTAAAACAGTTTAAATGTGTTATTATTCCATTCTATATCTTGTAAATACGTGACCTAATGGATAAGACGTGAAGTTTTTAATTCAATATATAAGGTTCAAATCTAGGTAGCAGATGTTTGTTTCATTTAATTTGCAGGAATAATACGAGATATATAATTAATAATAAGCTCCCTCCCTCCACACTTATCAATTAGGTCACGTATTTACTTTTTTGAAATTGTATTTAACTTTTTTAGTATAAAACGTTGTTGTATGAATAAAATATAATCAGTATACAATTAACACTCTGATAATCATAGTATAATTTTTTTAAAAATAATCGTCAGAACGAACAAAAATATATCGGTAAGTATTATAAGCTCGCCACAATATGATTTCACCGATTGTCTCAAGGTCAGAATTTGAAATTCGTCAATATGGAAAGAAAAGTGTAACAGTAGGTTTGTTAGTTAACAAAAAGATTTCGATTGTTGTAATATTAAAATGTATGATTACTAAAAAGAGTTTAAGCCTCGATCTAGACCAATGGCAATCATTAATGTGTGAAAATAATTATAAAGCAATTATTGATAATCTACGAAACCGATGTAAACGTGTAAGAATAACTGATAACTTAAGCTATTCCGTTAATGTGAAACAGTCTTCAATCATATTATATTCTAATGAAAATTATATAACTTTATCACATGTCGATTTGCAAAGGCTGAATCAGCTTGGAGCTTGTATCGATCTCTATATAATCGAGAAGCAGAAAAAATTACCATGTTACCAGAAGACTTTTGACACAGCATATGCATTAATTATGGCAGATATTAACGGGTTACCCTCTTCTTGTCGACGGAATGAATTTACAAACTCATATATTCAGAATTATAACTTAAGTTATACTAATATAGAAACTAATGATATTTCTTTTATGTATGAATTATTACAATATCATTATAACTCATTATCAAATATGATATTACAAGAGTTAGAATTAGGTACATCAGCTATTAACCTGTAATTTATTTTTACACATCATGACACTAAATCATATACACTACTTTTGTATCACTTTTAAAAATAAATGTACGATTAGTTAATATATTGGTTTTTTTATTTTAATTTTCAACAGCCATTAAAAACAGATTTATTATGATTTTGATTTTTTAATACATCCTATTTTCTTGTTTGGATTAGACATGAACCGTGTAAATATTGTTTGTATGATGTTGGATAAATCGTTTGCGAGTCCTTGATCCTTTGCTAAATCAGTTATCGATACTTTTACACTGCACTCAGCTTCTTTCCATCTATAACATCATTAAAATGATAAGTATTTTACATTACAAATATATATACATACATACAGGCACATTAATATATTATAAGAACCTTTTAACTATTACATACATCAACCAATGAATTTCTTAAATTATTTTTTTTTTTTTAGGAGTTAGTCATTGTAAGTTGTATTCATGTAAATTCTAAGAATCATATATTTATATAATATATATTACCTGTCTGTAGCAATAAGATTTTGAATATTTTTTATTTTATAGTGATTTATTGTCCAGTAATCACTACATACTTCGTTATCAAATGGTAATTTTATGTTTACTATTTCATCATTTTGTTTCACCATCATCGAATTAATAAGTTCATTATTTACTTTCACATCTTTAATTAAAGGACCAATACTATCCAGATATGAAATATTCTAAAAAAAAAAAATAATTATAGGTATTAATAATAATAATAAAAATTGTAATTTTATTTAATTTTTTTTATTATACTGTAAATTTTTTAATTTTAAATTTTTTTTTACATACTTTTTTAACTTTTGTTTTGCACATATTTTTTTTCAATTTCACATCTCTTTTTGTTTTATTTTGTTTTTTTGTGGTCCCCGGTTTTACCTCGTTATAATTGTTCTGAAATTATATACAATTTGGTTACTGAAAATCTAGTAAAAATATATACATCGTATTCAATG